TGTAAGTCTTTTAGATTGTATTTCATTTTGATGTGCTTTATAGTGAAATAGAGTCCAAAGCCAACAATAGTGAGTAGTGTTTGAGTCTCAGTGAGCGATCAAATCCATTGGAAACCAATGTATAGTTTGGCCGCTTCTAAGCCCAAGCTTTCCTTAAATTATCCCAAAGGAGACAATCCCTACTGTTTTGAACTCTTTATAGGCTTATATGGCTTTTCACTCATTCATTCATTCACTCATTCATTGTGTTTATTCTCTTTATTCCTATTCCTCACTATTTTTTCGCCCATTTTTTGTTTAATTTTCTCTATTATTTTTAGTTCATATTTGTTACATAAAGTTATCGCAATTCAAGTACTTTTTCTAATCCAAATTAACACACATTTTTTCAAGCATTTATTATGAAGCATTTTTCAAAGTAATGTTTGCATATAACAAAACCTTTAAATTTATGAAATTATATTGAATTGAATTTATTTATTAATTTTATGTTAAGTTTATTAACTGAAGTCAGAGCAGAGCCTCGGCTTTTCATAGATTACATATGTCTGGATTGAGGCAAAAGTGATTTATTGCTGTAAACAAAGCCAATGCGTGAAACCCGATCATCTCTCTCCCTATCCCTCACCATTCTCTCTCCAACGCTCTCTCCGCTCTCTCCTCTCAGGCATTCGCACCCCTCCAACACTCGCATACTCTCTCTCTATCTCTCTTCCATTCCCTCAGTTTCTCCAATATTTTTGCTTATTTTCTAGCTCTCTCTCTCTCCCTCTCTTTAGCAGATTTGAGTTTACATTTCTGGCAATTGTTTGCACATTAATTGCCGGCAAATAATTAGCACTCGTCCACTCTCACTATCACTCACTCCACACCCAAATCTCTCTCTCTCTCTCTCTCTCTCTCGTGTATCTAATTTTTATGCTATTTTCTGTGTTCTGTATTCTTGGTAGTGTTGAGCCGTTTGGTTATAGTTATAGTAGAGTTTCATTGGGCTTATGTACCAAAATGGCTGAAGTGTTTGCATGAATGCATTTGATTCATGATCTGAAAACAATGTGTATATAAAACTCACTCACAATTGCAACTCACGTCACAATCTCTTGTATTCGCATACATTTGTGTTGAATATTCAAAAAAAGTTAAGTTTCATTTGAGTTCTGTTTTCCTTTTTTACAAAAAGTTAGTCTCGCTTTCGATAAAATATATGACCAGAGGTGGCGACCCGACAATACTGGTTTGTCCGCAAAAAGATTATGCGATAATTTGTCAATTTTACGAGCACTGGTAGTCTAATGCTATATACACTACAGCGAGTCAGTAGTTGAGACACATTATGTTTAAATGGTTTTTGAGAAACATTTATTAAATAGGAGAGAGAGAGAGAGAGAGAGAGAGAGAGAGAGAGAGAGTGCAAAGTGAGAACAGCCTCACGCAGTGCTTCTCTACTCGACTCTATGGCACAGCTATTAATTCACTCGATATCGTCGTTACTGTTATGTCCCGTAACTCATTAACACTAACATTGCCTGGTTATGGGGTACGGTATGGTGTGGTGTATGTCCTAGTGCTCTACATCTACCCTGTAGATCCGAATTTGTCTACTTGCAAATGGCAACAAATTCGGTTCTAGAGAGGTTTGTGTGGGGCATACGAGGCACCGGCATATATATGACCCATACCTCAACGCTACCGTTCATTCACTCTCTTCGCAATATTCGCAACAATTTGAGACAATTTTCAATAATATAATTATAAATTACATCTAATGCTGACTGTTTGCCAATGCCTTTGGCTGAAGCCTTAACATTTGACTCCAAACGACTGAATTATATCCGTAAGAGTTCTCAGCTCTGATCCAAAGTTAATAATTTTGTGCTAAAAGTATAGCAAAAGTATAGCTAACTCTCAAAGTCATTAATCGTTGGCGTCTGAGTCGCAGTAGAAATGATGGATTATCCCAATCACGCACTACCAGTGATTATATATTATTACAATTGCATCTGTAATTGCGTCCTCACCAGCCCTACCAGTCCTATCAGCCTGTCCTCTCCTAACTCTCTCTCTCTCTCTCTCCACTTATTACCGAATTTTGTTTTTATCTAAAACTCTGTTTTTAATTTCGAGTCCAAAATAAATGCTTTGATTCAAAGCCGAGGGACTCTCAGCTCGAAAAGTGCACACAAAATATTATTATTAAAAATACATTTTGTATTTTCATTTACTATTCAATACAAATCTGGTAAACTTCGTGACAATCGAGTGTCACTCTCTGGGTTCAACTATTCCCCCACATGTGAACCCAAAGCAACGTTTTTAGACTTGAAAATAGGTGAGACAATAGACTTAATGTTTGTTTTTTGGAGAACTCGAGTCTTACTCTATTATCCAATGTTCGGGTGAGTGACTCGAATTCACCAAAATCTGCAACTTTTTTCAAATGTTTGCAAAAATGTATTTATATATAAATTGTATTTTTCGGAAAAATGTGAACTCAATTTGAGTGGCAATTGAAATGTTGACTGAGTTGGCACATAATGAAGACCTTCCCGTTTCTGGTCTGCCATTTTGCTCATCAGAATGTCAACCCGAATGAGTGATCACTAGATTCCCTATTGGGCTTAACATAGAGTCAACATTTTCATTGGCTATTTATGTCTCCAAATCTGAGATTTCTATCATTGGAGTTGAGATGGAAATGCAAAATATGATGATTTCTGAAGTCTGTCTCACTCTCTGTATACTACAATAAATATGAAATAATTTATAATTTGTTTATGTTTTTTAGATGTATAACAAAATATGTTTTGTGAAAAAATCGTTAATTTAAAAGACATACGAATGAAACATAAATTAAATTATAAAGCGATTTGAAAAATGCGAATAAATTGCGAAAAAGTTACGACATTTACGAGAATTAGTATTTAATTAAATATATTTTAATTTATTGATTAATGATTAATACGGGATATATAGATCTGGAAACTAATGATTTGGCAGTTAAAGCAATCAAAAAGTCATTTGACGAGAAGTGCCTCATCTTAGAGTGAAAGCCTCCCCTCCCGTGCGATGCAATGCTTTTAAGTGAAAATAAATTGAAAATAAAACAGATCGCGACATAAAACAATATTGATGGCTGTACGGTACGGTACAGCACCGGCACTTTGCTCAGTGTCTCACGTTTTATTTTAATGTAGCCATTGTTTTCATGGCACAAATACACATGCAAAAGCCATACCATTGCATACCATGGCTCTACACTATAGACATATTAAACTTAAATAAATCTAATCTTATCTGATGGACGATATAGTAATTTGTTATTTCGTTGTGAAGTAACAAACAGTGAGAGTTAGAGAGTGTGTGAGTGAGTGAGTTAGAGAGTGTGTTGGCGAGTGTGAGAGAGAACCCGATTTCCATTACATTATCATAATTATCAGCTATAAGTTTGTTATATTATAACTTATTTCATATTTTTCTTGGTAACCTATCAATCCCTATGAATGGCTTCAATGTATCAAATGTATTAATAAGGGTTATGTGCTTTGGGCACAGGGAAGTAGTAAATGTTTGTCCCGACTTATACGGCACTGTATCATACATTCATATAGTCTTACAGTTTATTCAATAGAATATGTTTGATGTGTAATGTATTGATGTATGTATTGGAGACAATGGTTGTCATAATGCGAATATGACGTGATGTCATATTATCAGTTCAGGTGTTACACAGCAAACCAATACATGCATGTCTATGATGTCTGTGCTCTCTGTCATTACATTAATGAGTTCTCAGGAGAGACTCCGATGCCATTATGTATGGCTCACTGTATGCACCATATATACGGCTCACACACCGCCACCACCACTCTATCTACTCATAAACCATACCATATATACTCATATACGGTATGTATGTATGCATTGACACTATGATAGACACACTCCACCACCGATTCTATAAATCTCTTCCTATCAATGAATACATTTATATTCAATTCAAATAGTATTGCACAACACGACAAAACTTATTAAAACTTTCTTAACATACTTTTCATTGAAACCAAAAAGTAATCTCATTGAATTAATTGTTTCAAATGTTTTTTATTGTTATTGATATCAATAAAAAGTCATTTCAATTATGAATGCATACACATTTGAAGATTATTTTTGAATTTGTGAATAGCTTTTATGAAAGCGAAAGACAGTGTTATTGATGTTTAATATTGTAATTATTTAGACTATAAGTATGTATTGTATTATTGAAAACATTATGAAAAGTGCGACAGAATAGAGAACAGGGGGTAAACAAGTTTGTTATGCCAGCCATCCTATCCATCCATCCTATCCAGCATTTGTTAGAGTTTTAGTCAACTTTTTATATGTTTCCCAATCATAGGAGAGTCAGCAGTACTCCGAGAGTGAACACTCGGCTCGGGCTCTGGTAGTCTTACATCCTGGTCTACACCAGGCTATGTTGGTGCAGGTATTAGATAGGGGAGAGAGAGAGAGAGAGAGAGAGAGAGAGAGACGGTTAGAGTGGGGAGAGAGATAGGAGAGAGAACAGAGAGAGGTGTTGGCAATGTTGGCAATTGTATGTTATGGTTGTGTAGTGAATATACACTATACGTAGTGACTGTAGACTGGCTCACAACTGCCTCTAAGCTGGTGTTCAATACGCAATACCCATGGTCTGGTAGTATTGTGCTCGTGTATGCTGTATTCTGTATGCTACGCTATATACTGCCTGTGCACTGTAAGTTGTATGCTATATGGATGGAGTGGTGTGTTCACTGGTAGGGTGTAGCCCATAAGGATGGGTAATTCATCACTGTCATCGATTACATTGTGACGAACCCCCCCTATGGTCACGATAGAGAGAGTTATGGTTGGCCTACGCTGTCACGTGCTTATGCTAATATGTGTTTGAGAGGTGGAGCCAAACCACAGTTAAGCGACATCACCAAAGAAAAATTATTTCCATCCAATTCACCTCAAAATTAATGGTATTATTGGTCATGAGTTCGTTTTTGATGAACTCTTCGCCAGCGGCCTATGCGTCGGCCGATCCGAAGTTCCCACCGACTGAAGAGTACTCGCAATCCAATTACATTCCCACTCTTCAGGACTTCTACGGCCAAAGTGCTCCGCAACAGACCACCGTTGCTGCAGCTCATCAGTCCCATTATGGATACCATCCCCACCACCCGGCCCTCAACTACATCGACCAGCAGCAGCAGCAGTACCACCATCACCACAACCATCATGTGGGCCCGCCGTCGGCCCCTCCGCAGTACTACACGCCATGTACTGCTGGAGCCATGGGTGCCACCGGCGCTCCGCCGCACGGAGCCATTCATCACCCGATCGCAGCACAGCATCAGATATCACCGCATCATCAGTCCTCAATCACCCCTCAAATGTCACACCTGTCCCGAGTGTCGAGTCCATCAGCACTCCATCGCTCGCCATCGCCTCGCACTCAGGCCTTAAGTATAGTGGAACCGCCCTCTCCGGGCGATTGCGGACTCTCCGGCCAGAGTGGCAGTGACTCGGGAACCGGCAATGGGGGCAGTGGTGGACATCCAGTCATCTACCCCTGGATGAAGAAGGTTCACGTAAATCAAGGTAAATGCAAAGGTAATAGCGATTACATCTGTTTAACACAACCGGGTTATAGTCTAGCGATTAGTTGTTTAGTGTTTAGTGTTTAGTATTTAATGTTTTAGTGTTTTTAGTGTTTAGCGAGTGTTTCGGTCTTTATTTGAGTGAAAGAGTCCAATACTGTACTCTAATAGTGTTCTCATAGAAAGCAATATATTTTGTCACATAATAGAGTTGGCAATACTTGTGCCGCCTTTGCATACAAACCAATAATAATAAATCTTTTCAAACGGCTCTCACTCTCCTTCCGCAATGCGATCCTCTATTTTCATCGGAACGGTAGGCCTTCTATGTTAAGTGTATGTGAGGGCCCTTTCGGCCATCGCCAGTATGTTAAGCCATACTCAGCCATACTGTCGATCCTTCAATTGTTCCGATCCTTGCCTTGGCCTCCATCACAGCTTATCTATTGTAAGCACTGTTAGGCATTGCGATCGTATAATGACTCAACCATTTGCCAGCTTTTAAAATAAAATTTTTCATACCATAGACTCCATATTATATACACTACTTCTCTCGCTATTATTATTATTATGCCTTCAAATGGTTGTCTATTATTATAAAAATAGTCCACTTTTCAGAGTATTCTCTACTTTAGTATAACAATAGACTTTCAGTTATTACAGTATTGAGTTGTGTTTTATAGAAAACTAGACTTATTTCGGTAATTAATCGCTATTTGTGTTGCATTTTCAGTGCAAAATGGGACCACTTTTAGTGGAATGGAGCCCAAGAGGCAGAGGACGGCCTACACTAGACATCAGATCCTAGAGTTAGAGAAGGAATTCCATTTCAACCGATATTTAACCCGAAGACGGCGTATAGAGATCGCACACTCGCTGTGTTTGAGTGAACGACAGATTAAGATATGGTTTCAAAACCGGCGAATGAAATGGAAAAAAGACAATAAACTGCCGAATACTAAGAATGTGAAGAAGAAGAACCAGCAGAACAACCAGTCGGCCAACAACGGCAACACTGGGGCCCAGTCGGGGCCCCAACCCTCACAAAATGCTCACGACATGTCAGGCCTGCTGCAGGCACCGCAGACCGCAAACCTCATACCTACGGAGCCCAAGACTGAGGCGCCCACATACGGACTCACCGAACTCTGAGACCAACTCCATGGCCACTCACTCTAATCACTCATATTTCCATATATTATATAATATTAATAATTAAACAATAGTTACTAATCATAACCACGTGAATCTCGTTTACATTCATAGACTTGAAAACCAAAACTGATATAACGTGTGATAAATATTCAATGAATTTCACTGTTATATTATACGGCGATAAATCTCTCATAACTTGTATTTCTCAACTCAATTGACGAAAACATTATATATATTTTGCTCGAAACCGAGATCACAGACCAAAGCCAAAAGGCCTGACAAAGACTGAAACAAACTCTGGGCTAACCAACCATTTTCAACATTCCTGTGAAATATTCATTTGAATTCATTATGAATTATTAATAATATTATAATATAATCAAAGAATTGAGACAATGTTTGATCGAATTAAGACTGATGTGTATTATAGACTAAATGACTAAATGATGGCAACTGTGCAATGAATTCAATCAATCAGTTATTTCCATAATATTCTGGTTTTCATCAATTAGTTCTCAATTATATTGAAAGAGAGTATAAAGTGTACAGAAGATTGTCGGCCAAACATTCACACATCGAGACAGACCCTCGAGTGACGGGCTAGGAGTTGTCAACTGTATGTCCACCAAATATAATGACTGCGAAACAATTGAAAAACTATACGACTATACCAGTGATTATATAATAGTGTTTTCTGTACGTATTATCTCAATAAATAAATATAAATCTCCGAAACTCTAGTACTCTATACTCAAAACAACATAAAAAGTGATGGATTTAGGAATTTGCTGATCGATTGGCATTTTATGATTAATTTTCACTCAAATACACTCCACATCGATGTTCCTCTAATGTTATATTTTATCAGCGCTTCAAACACCGCAACCAATTGAAGCAATTTTCCCAAAATCAACGTATTATTGATTATTTCTTACTCATTGCATTGCATTCTTGCACTCTTTTGCTCTCTCATTCTCTCTCTCTCTCTCTCTCTCTCCCCTCAGTTTCACTGTCTGTCCTCTCCCTCCCTGCCCGTCGACCCCTTCCCATCTCTGACTCGATTTTCTATTCTTGAAATGAGAAAAGAAATATAAAATTGTTACACAATTTTCAGTATAACTACTATTAATAGCATTACAATAGCAGAGAAAGAGCAGTGCATATGAAAAGCAGTGCACATATTAGACAGAATAAGAGCCAAATTACTTGTATTCAAACTCACAAAATGCTAGTTATTGGCCAGAAATGGACAATATATCCAATATTTCCATGATTAATAGTAATTTGTTATACAGTATAACAGTTTTATTCGTAAATAAATGTAATCTAATTAAGCGCTGATATGTCGGGTCACACAAACAATGTAGAGCTAAACTGCAATTAATTTATTGTGATATCAATATATAATATAACTGTAATTAATGTAACATTTGATTCAATCGTCACAGATTTGCAATTTTCAAAAAATACAATAATTTTGTCTTTATTTATAGTTTTAACAGAGAGTCACATTTCTTATACTCTCGTTCACATTAAAATTACATTTTATTATCATATTACGATTATTATTATTATTATAAATTATAACAACTAATGTTATTTCAATTATTTCTTGTTTCCATTTCAGTGATATATCGCTTTGTAAACTCAAATCATTGCACTTTTGTTTCAATTGCTTTTCAATCAATACTTTTAATTCTTGATTATATTTCTGTAATATATTTACATTTAATTGAAGTGAAAAATAATTTTTGTTATTTCACTAAAATACAGTCATTCTTATCGACCAAATCTCTTGTCTTAATTCAAACCATCAAACATTAGATTAGATAACGAGTTGCGTTAAAATTTTTTAGTTAACGGCAAATAAGCATTGTTTTGTGTAAAATAACTCTTAAAAAGCAATAATTTTTCCTCTAATTTACTAATTTTCCTGAAAATACATGTCTTTCCATACAATTTAGACAACAATTATTGTTGTTATTTTAAAAGTTTCTCATGTTTTTTATGACTCATGTATTTCTCTCTCACTCTTTCTTTACACTGTTTTACGCTTTTTATTGTTTTCAATTTGTGCTCATTTTTCTCTCCTTTTGTCTTTTTATTTGCTATCAATACAAATATCTCCACAATTTTTTACTTTTTTTTCGCTCAAACAGCAAAACAACAAAACCGAGTGATTTGCTCTGTTATGCAAGTTATGTCCACTCATTCACACTATACTCGCCAACTCTCTCTCTCTCTCTCTCTCTCTCTCTCTCTGATAATTTTAAAGTCGGAACTTCTCTTTCTCTACTCTCTTTATATTATGAAAAAAGTGCGGAATTTTATACAAAAGCGATTGTTTAGGCGATAAGTTTGAGCCCAGAGTTAGTCTTATAGTCTTATTTGGAGTTTTGCTGGTATTTAGAAATGGCTGACATTTGTTTGATAAGCAATTTAGCAAAATATAAGTACATTTAAAAAGTTCCTCATTTGACGAGTCCTATCGACTCGACGGGATCTCCGGTACCCTTACATACATTGTGACCAATCATATGACATTCATCTCTCGCTTCATTTTGTTATTAAATGTGAAATCTTTGAAACAATAATCTCTTTTAAGTTAATTTATACGAAAATATCTCAACAAATAGTTTTAAAGACAAAACAAACACAATTGAATGAATACAACCAAAGACTGTTTAAAAAATTAATGCTCAGATTAATTACAAATATGACATAAGACTCAATAAATGAAATAGTTGTTAACCATTGAAAAACAAGAACACATTTTTGCGTAAAAATGAGTGGAATTTTTATTGTCATAAGAAATGTTCAGTATAATTTATTTATTATTCTCTTAACAGTAATTTTGTTGGATTTGAAAAATACTTTCTGTAAATATAATGTATTTTAAAGTATATAAATTGAAATATAAATAATTGAATTGAATTATCTCATCATTTGCTACAATAGTGTGTACTATATTTGATAGATTATTGAGTAGGGTTGTATGGAGTGAGAATTGGGTATAGCGGTGCAAATCTACTGGTGCTGGTATACGACAGTGTGTGTATGTATGCAAATGGCACCTCCAATAGAGGATTATATTACACGGTTGCTTACGATGTGCTCAGGGATGTGCTCAGGGCTGTGATGGTTGTGATCGATGGGTCTGAGATGAAGTCGGTCTCAATTCGTCCCTATCTTTCATACTTAGACTAGATTTGAAGCCTTAATACTCAACACAATTACCGTACAGTATATCATAGGCAAGCGTACCGTATATCGCAATATATGGCATAAATGGTTGAGTTTTATTAATAATTTGATAATATTTGGCACTTTTGATCCCAACGTATTTATCAATTCTGACGTCATTAGAGGCTATGTTATGTTACTCTCATTAAAAACAATACTCACAACTCATTTAGTGTAATATCTGTAGTGCCCTGGGCTATCATATAATGCATGTAATACAGTAAACACCAGTGGAAGTGGTGGTGGTGGAAGTGTTCGTACATAAGTCTATAGTACGGGTATATGACGATTAGTATGAGTGCCTCAACTGCCTCTGCATTCTCTCCACTCTTACGATAATTAAATTCTTTAAATTGATTCAACATTTTTTTAAATTAATAAATTATTCCTTAATTATTTGTGTTTATCTTTTACTTTTTTCATTCATAATTTTGTTCCTACTTTTCATTCATGCTCATTATAGTACACCATAAAAATGCATTTGAATAATGATTTCGATGAAAATATTATATAAATTGCAACAAAATTTGATTAATTTGATTGAGTGCTCGAGAAGAGACTGCACTGAGTATGAGTTGTGTTATAATAAGTATAATTAATATTGTCGAGAGTGAGACTGGGATCAGTTATATTAGACAATGTTAGGCCTGTTAAACAGCTTTACGAAAGACTAGACTCAGTTTGCGAGACAATATCGACGTCGTGTTCAATATGTGGTGCTCTATAAGAGTCCTACGATTGCAATGACTGGCAATCGTTGTGAACATTAATGCCTTATTTAAGTCCGAGTGAAATATATCCGAAAAGTGTTGTGAAAATGGTATTTGTATTTCTCGTGTGATGTTAGCTCTGAGTCTAATTATATCACAGTTGGTTGTGATGTGCCTTACAGTGCCGTACATACAGTAGTCAGTGTAAGATCGCATGAATGCTCAAGCATGCAGTCATCGCACTGCCATACCATACCATACCATACCATACCATACCATACCATACCGTACTAAACCATACGATTTGATAGCATACGATTGCATACGAACCGTGCACTCGGAGGCATACATCAACTGAAGTGAAGTGAGAGCTTAGCTTCAAATGAAAGACATAGAGAATGGAAGAGAAGGAATAGAAGGAAGGGATGTTGGTTTGAATGGCTATATAAGCAGAGGTAAGAGAGATAAACAGCACTCTTTACCCTTAATGAAGGTAATACTCCTGAGAGGATCATCGCATCCAATACTACCAACACATCCAACACTACCATCACATCCAACACTTGTTGCGCTCTTACACTCTATTTCTATTTACTCAACACAACCATCACTTGCACTAAGATTTCCATTCAATTGATTGCGATTTTGTTTGCTTTTTGAGTGCATTTCACTAATATATCCCAACTTTACAAACACTTACTGTATATTAGTTCTAATGACCAATAATACCAGTAATGCCTTAATGTCCCACTAATGCCACTCTAATGCCGATTATTTTTTACCGCTTTTATACAATAAACTTACTCAACATTTCACATATAAATGTCTGCAAAACTTTGACCATTTGTTTCGTATTTGTTATGATTGTTTGAATGGTAATATCGATTGTTATTGACTTCGTGTGCATATAAAGTATTAATTGGTTGACCCATTGGTGGCCAAAGAGTTGACTGTTTTGGCTCTGTTTTGGAGTAGAGATAGCAATACAATGGATTGAATGTGGAGGAGATGGTGAACAATACGATGCACTGGTATTCGGTGGCAGAGTCTGGTGTTGTCTCTCGAGACACCATTTCTATCTATCTCTCACTCGAGCGAACCCTTTCCTATCCCTTTCCTATCCTTTTTCTTTAGTCTTCTTTCGCGACTATGATTTATGGCTTAGATTTACGACTTTTGTTGTAGAGGACAGTCGTTGCAGTCATTTATGCTTTTCATACGTTTCATAGGTTTTTCATAAATGTATGGCACAGTAGTGTTGGTAGAGAGTGGCGAACGATCGGTGCGATTGTGTGGTTGTGTAGTATAGGGAGAAATGCCCTCGGCGTTTGCTGTTTTCATAAGTTATGTGCTTTCAGTGCTTGTAATACAGTATAGTATATATGCTTTCGTATGATAATACTCTATGCTCTGGATTGGGCTGTATTTACAAATACTGGTGACTGTGATAATCGAGTTTTGAGCTCGCATTATCTTAATTGCTTAATAAAAAATTTAGATACACTCTCACATAACGGACAGACAATTAATTTGACAGTTGTCTGAAATTGACTTATTCTCTCAATTAACTATCGCTTTAAACACTGTCTGCTATTTTTCATTCCATAAGTACAGGCAATAAAATTTAATGCTTTTATTAATAAATAAACAATTTATAGAAATTATGTTAAAACTAAGTCATAAATTATAACAAATAGCGATACGCAAACACATTTAGCGTAAAGTTATTTTAAATAAGAAAATCATTTAACAAAAATTACTCTTAAATATTAATATATTCTGTTTATATGGAAATGATTGCAGAGATTCTGGTATTTATTTTCAATTAAACAAATACACGAATCGGTGTTTCTGTCAGATGTGTCTAATTTATCCTGAGCTGAAAGGGTGCTAATTACCAGAGCTAATCCAATTCTCCATAAGCACTACAACACTGTATGTCTCTCTAATTTATTGTAGTCTTTGTGTCATTTGCACTGAACCTACAGAATATCTCATACATGTCTACATCCATGCAAACCATCTCTTAGTGTCGGTCTTATAT